TTAAATATTAAAAAATTAAACTAAAATTCTAGTATAAATTAAAAATAATAAAAATAATAAATTTGGGTGTTACACCCCTAATGTATTTTCTCGCAGAGATGGGTATAAAACCAGGCGAAATTGGCCAAAACTTATCAAAAACGATCAGACCAATGTAAACTGTGGCCGCAGGCGGCGATGCCGTCGCTGGAGCACAGCGGTGTTGTCATGCAGAAATTTTAAAATTTGTCGAAAAATATTTTTAACACCGATTTTGGATTTTTTTATAGGTATTTTTAAGTGCGTAAAGCATGTTTTAATCTACACAGAAAAATTCAAAAAATTTGGGGACCTCCAGTAGGCGCAATAAAAAGTTCAGTATTTTAGACATCGATTCGGGTAAGAATCCCTCACTTTATTTCCTATTATAGAATTAAAGTCTAATTATCAATAATACGATATTTTGCGTAATTTAGAAAGTTTCGAGAATTAATTACAGGTTACGAATGAAACTAGAACTAGTTATTTATTATTGTTGTCCTATTTAACCGATTGTTTGATTTTATAGCTTTAAATGCATGATAATATACTGAAATTGGTAAAATGATTCAGTTGTATTTTCTTGATGCATGTATTGTTTGTCTTACGTTAATTTACGGTTAAATTGTGAAACTGAAAAGTAAATATAAATAGAAAATCGATTGGTTAAGTGAATGAATGAATGGTAGCCTTACTGGATATTCTGAGAGATAGTGGACGGACCGAGTACATAGAGAAGCCTACTGTGAATATCGCTTCATATCGAACGGGGTATCAAGGATTGGTATTTTTGGCACTCACACTGGACGGGGTATAGGAACGGCCCATTTTACCCTCATACCGGACGGGGTATTGAGGGATGGTATTTTTGACGCTCATACAGGACGGGGTATGGGGACGGCCGATTAGTTGACAAGGTTGGATGTTGGTTTACACATAATGGGACATCCCTATGGACTCCCATGGATACCAGTAGACAAATAAAGAGAGAAAGTTGTTATTCTTATTTACTTGATATGAGATTATGATGTCATTAAGCTAT